TGGGACAGTGGAGGTGTCTCTGCCATGGAATGGGTGGATTGGGATGAGCTTTAAAGTCCTTTCCAACCCAAACCATTCCATGATTCCAGGATTTTTCTCTTTTTTTGGGACAGTGATTTCCTCTTGGCACCTCAACCAGGCTGCAGCACCAGGAAGAGCCTCAGGAATTTCGGAACTTTCCCAGTCACCAGCACCCCCTGGCTGAGAACTGAACTCCAGACCTCATCTGGGCTTCTCCTTCCCTGGATTCCCTGCTCTGGAAGCAGAGGAGCCAGAGGTGCTCCTGAGAAGCTGCTTTGGTGCCCGAGACGAGCAGAAAGGGAATTTTCAGCTCTTTCCTCTCTGCTCTTCCAAGAACCCAGAGAAGCTGTCCCAACTCCATCCTTGGAGTCTCCAAAACTCTAGGAAGAGGTCCTGGGATCAGACTGGAAATCCCAAACCAGGGTTTCATCCTTAGCTGGTGTTATTCCCAGTTCCACCCTGGGAACTGTGGGAGATAGTAAAGGCAAGAAGATTTTCAGAAAGCTGGGAAACAAAACAGAAAACTTGGAGCTAACTGCAGCTGCAAAATCTGAAAGCAGAGGAAGTTACCACAGTACAGCAAGCAGGGACATGAAACAATAACTTGAATTTTAGGTATTTTCCATGGTGATTTTCCTTTTGGATACAGAAGTTGCTGGTTAAATAGTACTAAACCCCCCCCCAGATATTCTTTTATTCCCATTGCCCATTTATCTGTGCAATGATGGATTGTGCTGGTGCTCCCAATTTTCCTAATGGCACCCATTAAACTTCATTAGGGCTGTGCAAAACCCGAGTTCAAATCGTTGCCATTGATTTTGCATCTCTAAAATGGAGAATTCCAGACCTCCCCGGCATCCCAGCCCCATTCCCTGCGTTCCCAAAGGGCAGCAGAGGGAGTGGCACTGTGCTCCAGGGGAAATTTAGGATCACCCCACAAAGTTCTCAGCAATCCTTTGTCTCTGCCCCAGCCTATTGTAAATGCAGGTGAAGAAATGGGAAGAAATGCTGATGTCTGACTCAATTCAGAAAGATGAATGATTTCTTTATTATAACTATACTAAAATACATTAATATACTATATAAAAGGAGGATACTAAAACTACATATTACTTTCTTTAACCCAACTGGTGCCCCTCTCTGAGCCCAGCCCCAGGTGGGTTGGATTGGATTGGATTGGATTGGATTGGATTGGATTGGATTGGATTGGATTGGATTGGATTGGATTGGATTGGGTTGGATTGGCCACCAGGCTCAAACAATCCTCACCAGAATCCAACCAAGCATCACCCCAGGGAAACAATTCTCCAAACACATTCCACGTGGGAAAAACAAGGAGCAGAAACAGAAATTGTTTTCTCTTTCATTTCTCTCTGTGCACCTCCATGAAAAATCCTGAGAGGGAGAGAAATATGCTTGCCACAGCAGCCAGGGAATTTTTAGCCTCCAAACTCCAGCTCAGCTGTTTTGTTTATCCATTTTATTCCCTGTATTTATTTTTCCTCACGTTTTCACTGGGGCTCCCCCTTCCCTTGACCTGCTAAACCTCGGGAATGAGGAATGGCTGCTCCTGAGTGCCAGGGAAACCGGGATGGAGGAGAAGGGAGGAAAGGTTTTAACGTGCTCTTTTCCCCCAAAATAAACATCCTCTGGCTATAGGAAGAGTAAACTTCCCCTGGAAATGGATGTGTTTATATGAGCAATCCCTTTCTTCTGGCATTTCCAGAGATTTGCTGGCTACCACTGGGAAAAGAGGCTTTTAGGGGGAGCGGTGCAATGACACCAGATAAGTTTTTGTATGATTTGTTTACTTTTTGGGAAGACATTCCCCCTTGAATGGATTGCTGTGAACCTGAAAGGGATTTCCTCCTTTATCTCCCTGCCTGCTGGAATGTCCACCCAAAGGACAAGGCAGGAAAAAGCCTTTTCCCAGCAAAATGCTTGGCTTTGACTCTGCTGTACTGGGAATTTACTGGGAATTCTTTACCAGCACAGCTCCCCCTGACTCTGCAATTTCCCAGTTTTTCACCAAAAAGAGAATTTTACCAACCTTCCTAAAGTGGGATGTGCCATTTCCAGGGACATCCTTCCAAGAGGAGCCCTGTTGCAGGATTATCCAGATGAATATGAGGTTGAGGCAGGCATTAACTCACCTCACTTTGGTTTAAAACAGAGAAAATCGAGCTTTAAAAGCTTTAGAATTTGCTTGGTAAGGATTAAAAAGGAATATATTTTCCTGGGAAGCATGAGCTTCCTCCTTGCTGACGTGGGGTGAGTGAGGAGATTCCCAATTCCTTTTTCTCCAGCTCCCTTCCAGCAGCACCTCAGGGATGCTGCCACATCCAACACAGACTGTGGGGAGCAGGGAATGATTTCAGGTTGGGTCTTTTGGGAGATATTTATATTATCACTGGTCCCAC